TGTAACATGCACAGTATGGTATTACTACCACACTGAATGAAGTTAGACACATATTTTTGAATGTACAACGTGCATGACTTGATAACCTACTATATTATGACATTTCTTCCTAGGCAGGAATTTTAAAATCGTTCTGGCAGTGTAATACATTCCCACATACTGTCAAAAGCATACATAGTAACATAAGTACTGAATTCAAAGAGGAGCATTATCCTTGAAGAAGATCCTGCCCTCTATGCTTGTTAATTCTGTTCCTTGAAGCTCTTTCTTGCTAATACAGCACACCTTTAGTGACAATCCATGGCTTAAGCCATGCAGCTCAGTGATTTTAAACTTGTGATGATGTTCACTAATCCTCTCTGTGCTCTGTTACATAGGCTTTGGTTCTGTGAAGAAACTGAATTTATAGTAAAGACTTGTATTTGCTGGATGGAAGGGTCACACCTGTGACATCGTTGGTCCCCAGTCAGAGCATGTTGCCTGCTTCACTGCAGTTATTCAGATAGGTGCACACACACATGCAAATTCTGTGGTGTAGTCACAGATTGTGGCACTCTTTGAAGAACATTCCCTCATTAAACCTCTCTAACTGAACCTTGAGGCCCCAACAGCAAAATTTACAATGGAATGGTTGAAATGTTGCCCATTTATTACAGAAACAGGGGTAAGCAGGGAGGAACAGCCAGGGCATGGGGAAAGGTTCTATTAGAAAATCTGTCTTAGCAAAATTAAGGAAACATTTACAAGTAGCCAGTATGATGGAGTAGTCATTCATTCCCTGCAAGTCAAAATGAAACTGTGAGAAGACAGGGCTTCTTTTTCACACTTAGAGAAGGATTTGCATGGCAAAAAGTGGCCTGCAAGCTTCCCTTCAGTCACATTCTCAGACTGCCCTGGTTAGATTACTGCCGGCATTGGCTTATGAATAATCTCACAGTCATCTGTGACCCATTGCTACAACACCAAAACTTCTAGAATTGGAAAAGACTGAAGAAATCAGAGACTCTGTTTCCAGTATAACAATGTTTTTCCTGTATAATACCCAATGAAATTTTTCAAAAAGCATTAACAAAGTATTGTCATTGCAGCATTTGCTAAAAACACATCACAGTGAAGGTGACAATTATTTTTCACATGTAAGACAAAGTTTGTGGACCAGTATATTATTGAATAATTCCTGACACTGCATTCAACATATGTGATCCATTCTTTCCTAAGCATAGAATCATAGAATCATAGAATTAACTGGGTTGGAAGAGACCTCCAAGATCATCAAGTCCAACCCTTGATCCAACCCCACTGTGATTACTAGATCATGGCACTCAGTGCCACATCCAGCCTCATCTTAAAAACCTCCAGGGATGGTGAATCCACCACCTCTCTGGGCAGGCCATTCCAATGCCTCATCACTCTCTCTGTAAGGAACTTCTTTCTAATATCCAACCTAAATTGCTTAAGCCCATGCCCTCTTGTCCTACTGCTGATTGCCTGGGAGAAGAGACTGACCCCCACTTGCCTACAATCTCCTTTCAGGCAGTTGTAGAGAGTGATGAGGTCACTCCTGAGCCTTCTCTTCTCCAGACTAAACAACCCCAGGTCCCTCAGCCTCTCCTCATAGGACTTGTGCTCAAGTCCCTTCACCAGCCTTGTTGCTCTTCTCTGGACCTGCTCTAGAACCTCAATGTCTTTCCTGAACTGAGGGGCCCAGAACTGAACACAATACTCAAGGTGTGGCCTCACCGGCGCTGAGTACAGGGTAAGGATCATTTCCCTGCTCCTGCTGGCCTCACTGTTCTTGATGCAGACCAGGGTGCCATTGGCCTTGGTCACCTGGGCACAATCTGGCTCATGTTCAGCCTCCTGTCAATCAGCACTCCCAGGTTCCTTTCTGCCTGACTGCTCTCCAGCCACTCTGTGCCGAGCCTGTAGCGCTGCAGGGGGTTGTTGTGGCCAAAGTGCAGGACCCGGCACTTGGACTTGTTGAACTTCATTCCATTGGAATCGGCCCAACTCTCCAGTCTATCCAGGTCCCTCTGCAGAGCCCTCCTGCCTTCCAGCTGATTGACACTCTCTCTCAACTTGGTGTCGCCTGCAAATTTGCTGATGATAGACTCAATCCCCTCATCTAAATCATTGGTAAGGATGTTAAACAGGACTGGGCCCAGCACCGATCCCTGGGGGACACCACTGGTGACCAGCTGCCAAGTGGATGCAGCCCCATTCACCAGCACTCTCTGGGCCTGACTATCCAGCCAGTTCATTTATGCGGAAGGTTAACATATTTTAACTCTTCTTTCTGGTAACCAGTGACAGGACTGAGACAATTGTATGAACCTGTGTCAGGAGAAGTTTAGGCTGGATATCAAGAAAAGATTCTTCACCCAGAGGGTTGTTGGGCACTGCAACAGGCTCCCCAGAGAAGTGGTCACAGCACCAACCCTGACAGAGTTCAAGAAGCGTTTGGACAACATATTTAGGCACATGTGTGATTCTTGGGGTGTCCTGTACAGGGCCAAGAGCTGGACTTGATGATCCTTGTGAGTTCCCTCCAACTCAGGGTATTCTGTGATAATACAATTTTTCTTGGTATTTATATATGAAACAATTTTATAGTAATACATTTACCTATGAACTTCTTGATAAGAATTCATAACAAATTTTTAAAGTGTTCATTCAGGATGACCATGTCTGGAATGGAAACTCTTGTATTTGGTAGTAACAGTGAAGCATTTACACTATTCAGAGAATTCATTCCTAGTCACCATGTGGAGCACTGGAGTTGAATACAGAGTGACATTGCTATGCCTGACAATATTGAGGAATGCCAAAATACACAGTTAAAGCAACCGATGCCTAATGGGCTTCTTTATGGTCAGGGAAAACCTGAGTGATTCACCAATGCTGTCTTCTTCTGAAGGCTAGTGGCTAGTTCATTGAAAATAACTTCTCTATCAAAAATTTTCTAGACTGACAAATTCTCAAAAAGATGGCTTTAGCCAATCATTTCTTTAAATGGTTTATGAAATCCTGCTCCCCTCAGAGCTGTAGCACAAGTGGATTTCACAGCTACAAATCTCAGCACCCCAGAGCTGGGGAAGTACACTTCCATGCTGGAAGCTGCTCTTTGTCACATTGGGAAGGATAAATGAAAACTTTGCTTCCTGTTCTCCAGGCTATAGGTATCAAGCTCCAGCTAATCACTGGGAAATTCCTCCTGTAATGTTAAGTGCAGGTGTCAGCCAAGAGAAATTCCTCCTAGATGTGCTGACATAGCTTTAGCCTGTAATACTTCTTACAGCATCACCTTCTCAAACAGCACTTTGATCCTCTCACAAAGTGTCAGTGACACGGTTTGTTGTAGCAGGTCTGTTTCCAAGTATGCACCATCAAGAGACACTAAACTGGGTGACTCATATCAGTTATCTCGATATTGTCACAGCCTTTATTAGCTTTACAGCCACTGTGAAGCACTGACCTTTAGAATGGAAAAGATGATAACTGATGAAGTCAAGTCAGGGTTTAAAGCTGGTTATTCCTGATAAAGGACCCATAATATCAACCTTTTCCTTCTTTGGCAGCATCTCTCTTAAATAACAGCACAAGGAAAGGACCTACTTTTAAATGAATGTATGTGTTTTGGGTTTTTACCTTGAATGAGCTGAGAGCTAAAGCGAAGACGCCTCTCTTGAGCAAGGTGTTGGATCAAGCAACACCTAAAATTCCCTTCTGACACAAGGTTTTTCTACAACTCTGTGACAGCAACAATTTCTGTCCTGATTATCTCTGCTAGTAACTCATAAAAACTATGTAATATAATTGCTCAGGCTCTGGGCATTGATCTGTACAGCAGCCAGACAGCTCAGAGACAAACCTGTGTTAGGGGCTGTTTTGAGAGGTATCTTCACTCACCTTCTATATCATCTGCCACCCTTCATTTTTTGGTGACTGACACAGAAGTAGCCGAACTGGGAAAGGAGAGGAGCTATTGCACAAAGCTAAGTGGGCAAGATACACTCCACAACAGCTGTATTTCCCCCTCGTAAAACCTGGAATGTAGCTTTGAATTTGCTGGATAGGATAATTTTTTGAAGTCAAGAATGAAATATTAGGTTACAGGAGACAGGCCTATGAAAGTATGAATTCATTGCTCAGCCAAAAAAAAATGCAAATCAAATCACAGGAATAATTTAATACAATCCTTTATTCACTATATTTTTAATGAAAGACTTGAATTTCTCTTTTAAAAAACCAACCAACCAACAAAACAAAAAAACAAAACCAAACCAAACCAACAACAACAAAACAACCACCAAGAAAACAATGTTTTGTAACTGCAAATAGGGTTTGCACACTTGTTACGACCTTTCTGAAACTCTGATGCCATTAACACAGGAAAGGGTTGTAAATCAATGAAACAGGCGGATAAGCTTACTTAAGGGAGCTTGTCTGCTCCAGGCACAGGAAGTAATGCCCTTACTCTGCAGCTGGTGGAGATTGTCCCATTGCCATAGACACTTCAGACCTATCATACCTAAGTTTATGCAAACTTGAGAGTTGCATAAGACTTTGCCCTGTGCAACCGATTTTTTTTTTCTGTGAAACTCTCTGTGGGTATCCTGCTGCAGACCAGAAGGGAAAGCACAGACATCTGTGGCTACTTGTCAATGGAACAAACAAATTACTACAAAATATAAAACAAGACAAAGATTTTCCGTTGCCTTACAGTACTACATTACTTAAATGAGTGTCATCTCCAAGGACTGAGTGCTAGAAACTAAAACCTCATTTACCCTTGGGAACTTTGGTGGTCCAGCAACAAACGTAGCGACTCAAACCTTGTTGCGGATGGATGTCTGTTTTTTCAGATGTGTTTCAGAATGAGAATTTACCTTTTGCCTGCAAACTGTAGACCCCCAAAAGTATATTTTTATCTTTAGCTTCTGTTATGTATAGGAAAGTTCTTATTATTGCTTCATATTCTCTCTCTTTTCTTGGAACAGGATAATGTGGATCTTGGTGACCTTATGTTTTCACTCTGCTACCTTCCAACAGCTGGTAGACTAACTATTACAATAATAAAGGCAAGAAATTTAAAAGCAATGGATATAACAGGAGCATCAGGTATGAATTAATTTAATACTCAGTGTGTATTTCTGTCCGATTTCCCTCCTGAGAGATAAAGAATTCAACCCTGTCAAATCCCAGAATGATTTTTGAGAAGAGGATTCTTATACTTGAGTTACTTGAGCTCTTGAGTTACTTGAGTACAGGAGTTTGTGAGAAATAAATAATATATTTTAGATTGCTCAGTTGTAACCAACAATTTAAAACACTTTGCTCTTATGTAGACTGCAGGATAACTGTTTCTAAAGCCACTGTGATTCAGAGTAGCACAACTGGCTAAAATTCATTCCTAACAATGGGAATTAGAGCAGCAGACTGTTATGGCTATGGCACAGAGGCAGACTGACCCACTCTGCCAACCTCAAGAGCCACTGAACCAGTGCTGCTTTTGTTGGCATATTGACAAAGAATTGAACATCCCAGAGTCCTTTCAGCCACCCTCTTAAAATTTGATAATTAAAATTATAAACTAATTTAAGTAATAATTAATAAGTTACTTCTAAATACTGATAGGGAGTTGTAGAGCTCCCAGAAAGGATCTGGAAATAAATAGCTTTTCTTTTTTTACTGTATTCAGGAGTTTAAAAATAATTATAATTGTCTTGAGAAATACAACCTACTAATTGTTACATTTTGAATTATATTTAACCATACATCAGTAAATCCCATTGTGAAAAACGTTGTCTTCTGTCTGTGCTACAATCTAATAAGTAATTAGGCTGCTATAAATAGGCTGATACACAGGCTATTGTATAGAATACTCATGTATAATACGGTTCAATGGATATTTTAATACCCTCTGAGAAGTTTGTACATGACAAGGGGCTTCTTGCACCTAAATTGTTCATTATAAGCAGTCAACCAGGTAAAACTTTCAAAGCTCCACTGCATCCCAAGCATTCCATGGTAAGAAAGAAGTTCAAATTCCAGTCAGGTCCAGAAGATGAATTCTGCAAGTAGGTATGGACAATACAAGAAGTCTGCTCCCTTCACTTGCCATTTATGTTTGCTTAAAAGCGTCAAAAGAAAATCAACACTGTTCTTATGATTCACACAGATCCCTACGTGAAGGTTTCTTTAATGTGTGAAGGAAGGCGACTAAAGAAAAGAAAAACTTCCACCAAGAGGAATACCCTTAATCCCGTTTACAATGAAGCCATAGTCTTTGATGTCCCTCCAGAAAACATTGACCAAATTAACTTGTCGATAGCAGTTATGGATTATGACCGGTGAGAAATCTGTAGCTGTAAAATGACATCAACTATTGGCTTGTAAAATCTTGTACAGCAGATTTGAGTCCAGAAAGAAAGTTATTACTTTTGCTCTGTGGAGAATTAATTTCATGTTGATCTGGGTAGAAGGCTCAAATTTTTTGTTTTGCTAGGCAGAATTTCCTTTCTACATTTCAAAATATAGATTTGCATTCATAACTGACATTAATACGCTGCATATATGTCTACCAGAACTGAAGTAAGTGAGCATATAATCAGACATTCTACACATTGATGTTCTGTTTGAGCACATTTACTCAAACCCCTCACACACAGGCCTCCAGTTATAAAACTGTGGCTTAGAGTTTACTTTTATTTGCAGCTAATTACAGAACAGAGACAAAGAAGCTTTTATATTCTTCATGCAAAAATAAGAAACAAATGCACACAGACACACAGTGGGTGCTATAAAGGGGGGGAAATATTAAATTGTTCTGATTAGCGAGAAATGCAAACAGTAAACCTATGAATTTTATAGTACATGATATTTTTCAGGCAAGAATTAATTCTAAAAATCTGTTATTAATGTTTCTAATGAAATATGCAAATGGTATGGTTCTAAAGGTAAAATTTTAAGAAAAAAATATTATGAAACATTTTCACAGTGTAGGTCACAATGAGGTCATTGGAGTATGTCAAGTAGGCAACGATGCAGAAAGTCTAGGTCGTGACCACTGGAATGAAATGCTCTCATATCCTCGGAAACCCATTGCTCATTGGCATCCTCTTGTAGAGGTAAGACTTTAATTTCCTACTTCCCCATTACAGTAATTCTGAATATTCCTTCATATGACATTAGAGGTTGGATAAAATTTTATGAACAAACCTAAGATCTACATGCATGAAGTAAATCCTAGAAAAGAGCTTGGAAACACCAATATTAAAAGTCAAGCATAAAGTGAAAGTTAAGTCTGCTTCTTTCAGTTTTAGGGATACAGAAAGTAACTAATGTCTATAAGATATATGTATGAAAACACCAAACATTATACATTCAATTAAGGGTTTGATTTTGTGTTTTAAATATGATCTTGGTTAACTCTCAATGATAATTGATAAAAAGAAATGGACCTTGTTTACAGAACAATGAAGATCTATTTTTTTTATAAATAACAACCTTATTTACCTCTTTTCTCGTAACAATGTATCATCCATGGCACTAGCACATCTCAAAGGATGCCTAACTGCACTGAAAAAAATATGTTTAAGTGTCTCTGGAGATCTGAGGCGCTGATAAGAAGCGACACAATCAGAAAAGCTTTTCAAGGTTCCTATGTTTTTTTTTGTTTTGTTTTGTTTTGTTTTTTGTCTTTAGGGCCCTATTCAGCAGGAATGTTATGCAGGTCTTCTGCGCTTGGATGGCTGCCGAAGAGGCTTCCTCACCCTTTTAACCTATTCAGCAGAAATTTGGCATTCCTGTTGAACTCTTTCTTAGCCATATCCTCAGGGGCTATTCCACAGAGTCCAGTGGGGTAAAGATGTCCTTTTAATCCCTCTGTCTAATCCTCTCCCCAATACAGGGAATACTAATCCTGATTCATGAGACACAAAATTTCATCAGAGATCTAACTAAATTGCTTCCTAAGAGTTGCCATGACTTACTTCCATTGTTGTTGTCACTGCTTAATGTCAGGCAGTAATCCCAGTCAAAAGAAACTATCATGTTTGTGAACACTCACAGTGTTATCCCCCATGTTGAAGGACAGGAAAGACCATAGTATCCGAATCAAGCCAAGAGTGATACTGTAAGCACCTAATATATGGAAGCAGCCTCTCTGAGGGTACCTTATGCATCAGAGTGAGGCCATGTTACTAGTGGTGCAACTGAAGATTAACCTGCCTGGTTGCGAGTGCTGACCCCAGGCAGTTCCATAAATAATTTTCAGGCAATAGGAAGATGCTGCAAACTGGGAAGAATGCCACAGTCTCTCCGTGTGTCCATAAGCAACTGCATTTACTGGTGCCTGGGGACCACAGCGGCACAGTTTCAGCAGTCAGAGTGGGAAGGCACTCTGCCTTTGCATAGCACAGATGCTGCCAACATGCAACTATCTGTGAAAGAAGATGGAGCAAAGTGAGGAAGCTCTGCCTGTATGTTTGTGCCCTCAGTTACAAGCTAGATACTAGCTGAAGTGTCATGCCTGAAATGCTGACCTGGGCATTTGGGAACTGTGTTTGGAAAATAGCTCACCAAGCTTTCATCTGTAGGAGTAACTCAGTGGTTACTGCCCAGAATAGAAGTGTCTCTTATCAAAAGTTGTGTACATCCTTATATCCAACCTGTCTTCCCTCTTTGATAAATTTCATTGCAGCTAGAGCCCACAATTAGGTTTGGAGAGCTCTTCCCTTTTTACAGGCATCCTGTTCTTTTCATACATGCCTGGCTAACTTCTTTAGATTTCATTACTGTGGACTGCTTTTCATGTCACTGAGCTAAACAGAGACATATTTTTTTCCTTCCCAGGAATCAAGTGGGGGAGGGTGTCCAGCGCATCCAGGCTGTGCAGAGAAATACATACACAGCATATCATTTTGGTTCCTGAATCAGGATTAGACTCAGCGAGAGCTTCTGGAACCTCTGGGGCCACAGCCATAGGACCCTGAATATTTGCTGAATAGGACCCTCAGTCTTCTACTGTGTGAAGAGCTATTGGTTTCAAGTAGCATAATGTTATCCACTTGTAGCATTGATCCTCCAGCTGACACTGTTGCTATTGATAGATTATTTATATGGTCGTAAGCATTACCCAAATTCAAATCGTCATTTCTGTTTATTATAATAACCCAGGTTTTACAAGCAAAATGATAGCAATGAAAACCAACAAATATGAGAAGCAGCAACAAACACAGTCCTTGTATTTGCAAAAAAGGTGCAGTATTGTGAATGGATAGCTTTCTAAATATTTTTTTTCAAGAATAATTATTGTCAGACATTTATTTTTGGATGACAAGATGTGTCCTCAATCTCATTTGGTGCTTCCTATCACCTACATGAAAACAAATTAATATGGTTGCTTGAAGAAATCCTTCAAATCTGAAAAACTGTAAAAAAGTTCTATTGAGTGAGAACAAGGTGCATATCGTATTTGTAATGGCAGTATGTTCTTTTAGAAAGAAGATAACCATCTGTATAACATGGAGGTTGTTAGTCCTCAACCTTTGTAGATGATATTCCAGTCAATGTTTCTTAGTTGGGTCCACAACACTGCAAAATGTTGGAAGCATGTCACAGGTGGCAATGTTTGATCATACAAACAAGCCCACATGTGTGCCTGGGCACAAGCACACCTTACGTCATTTTAAAATGCTGTTCCAAATATATAGTGCCTGTGAAGACTTCCTTTATTATTTGTGGTAGAATTAGCAAAGCTATTTTACATGATGGTATATTGTAAATTCTGACAAATTCTGACCATTAAAAGAAAATAAATCAAAGCACTGGACTCTTTCACACAATAAAATCTATGCCCCAAAACAAGAGACCCTGAGAAAATTTTTGCCACTTATTTAGCCATGCACTCTCTTCCTCCAAATTTTTCTAGAGAGAATTTGATTCAAGTTTTTACATGAGATTTTTTGTTTAAAAAATGCAAATACCCATACAAAGTATGGGTATTTTATACAACATATTTGTCTGTTATTTACTTACAGATAGGGAGCCCTGATCTTTACATATAGTTTGGATAAGTTTATGTGCTTTATAAGACATTGCTTCATGTCTTGTATGTGTTGAATGGCCACTAAGTGTTTTGGATTTGCAACTTTGCTGACAAAGATATGCATGCACAGAATGAAGAAATACTTAAAATTCTTACCCCAAATCTGAAAAATTAGTTTTATAACCTTTCAATGAAGATCTTCCAGAAAATCAGAACTGCTTATAGGTAAAGTAAGCTTGGCACTTGCAGGAAATCTTGGATCTGTTGTGTGTGCTGCAGCTATAAAGCAGAAGCCCTGTAAGTACAGTGATTTTTCAAAAATCTCATGCCATACTGTGGAGAATACCGTGGGCAAGGGCACTCCTGGCAAACTGAACACTTCAAAACCTGCCCAAGCACAATTTCAGATGGGTAACAATTGGGCACTTCCAAAAGAATAAAAAATACAGACATGAAGTTGCCACAGAAAAACTATTTCACTGCACTTTCAGCTGAAGCCTTGTATCAGCAAGTCAGTGGTGCGATCCATTGTGCATATCCACTCCTGCATGATCCTCACCTCAGGCAAAATCCTGCACTCTTTACCCAGGTTCATCTCCCCGGAGTCAACATGGGGAGATGAGCATGAGCAAAGAAGGAGGAGCTCTTGCTTTGGGGTGAAGTTCTTTGATTTCCTGGACAAATCTTTACACATGCATCCCTGCCTGCAATGCAGAGCCAGCAGCGACACTCTTTGCCACTGCAACATTAGCAAGAGAGTTCTGTGAAAAGGAAAACACCTACACAAGCAGTGCAGGATTTGTCCCTTTCTGGGATTTGTCTCTAGCAATTCAAAGGGGCATCAACTGAAGAGCAGTATCATTATAATTGTCAGTGGGTTAGGGTTCTTTTATTTTATTAACATGCTCAGTTTATTTAATGCTCAAGGGTCTGGCATCAAAAGAATTATTTTGAATGTAGTTCTACTGAAAAATAAGAAAGAAATCTCTGTGACAGTGAGCATTTTAAGTGGAATCCAGCATACCTCAAAGGCTTGGGGATGAGGAAAACCCCCTTAATTTATTATATTCTAATTTTTACCGTCTCATGAGTTGCAAAGTGTTACTCGGGCTGTGGCATTACTATGTGCTTTTTATGAATATCTGCCTTATCATAGTAGTGCATCTATGGAATGATAACAATTTTCTATATTTGGATACTTCACTCTTCACCCTTATACTCCATTTAACCAGTGATATTCCCTAGACCTGAAATATTTTCATGTTATGGTTCTGGTCTCCCAGTAGACTGCTGCTATCTTTGGACTGTATGACAATAATACAACAGCCACTGGAAGAAATAGAGGATAGTTACACTAGAAACCCAGAGGAAACTATGGTCCCAATACTGTTTAGTCTTTCTTTTCTGAACTGTGATTCTCAGAGGTAAATTAGTAGTAGACTCACAAGAATGATTTCAAAGTTGAGACCCTCATTTGTTTTCTTATTTGCTGTGAACGCATAATTATGCTTTATGAAATGTATCTTAACCCTGAAACAGAAGAGGAAATCCCTTAGAAGTGCATCTCAGCAGGATTTTAATCCCATTTCACTCATTTTACCAACGTACTATTAAATTTTAGTTTTTAACTTCTAGTTTTTTGTAACAAGATGTTGTTTTATGGAAAAGCAGTGAGTGGCAATGGAAAAGCCTTCCAAGTTACTGACACCGAGGCCAAGTACAATGGACAGTTGTGTGATATTTCCATGAAAAAACTCTCTCAGCACAACTTTTCTGCAGTTGAGTGCTGAAATATGTCTTTGTCTGTTTTCACTGAAATCACAAGACATCAAAAGCATTCCTGCTCTCTTTAGTTTCACTTTTCCCTGTCAATAATCCTGGCAGTGGATAAAAAGACATGCATCTCGAGCTGGGGACGTGGGGAGTACCAGAACAGAAAGCCAATATGTAGTATAAAAGACTCAGTGCTCAAACTGTTCTTACCAGCCATTGCACACCTCAGCTTTCTATGCCAGCAGATCCACAAAACACCAAAGCAGTACGTGTGAGCAACTTTTTTCTTAGAGGTCTAATTTAACTACTGGCAGGGCAAACTGCTGGTTCAGTCCAAAATAAAACAGCAAAGGGCAATGCAAAAGAATGAAAAAGAAGATGTTATTTTAGTCCACTCTTCTTAGCTTGACGGGATGGTTGTTAAGGGGCTTTTTGGTTGTTTTTATTCTTTGGTTTGGCTTGGTTTCCTTTGTGTGTTATTAAACAAGCAAACATGGTATGCAGCTATATTATCATGAGCACCCAAAGTCAGTAACATAAGAGACATGTTTACATGCTTATCACATTCAAGCACTGTGGGGACATATCTGCAATTAAAAAAAATAAAATTGTTGTAAACCTAGTTTAAAAGTAGTGAATGATAAATGGGGACTGGGAAATTTAGTTGAAAAATCTGGTTTACCCAGTTAGAAACTGATCTGAAATTACTGTTGATGCATTTTGTTTGAACAGAAGTAAAAAAATTAGATTAAGTGACTCCATCTGAAGTGCCATCAATTAAATGCTTTTTTCCCTTTAGAACAGTGCATTGTCAAGTGATTACATCTCAGAAAACAATGCCTTTCTTATCTAGAAGAAGAAAACACATAGAGAAAGTAATCCACAATACTGTAGAACGTAATAGAAGCCCCCTGTGCTGGGAAGAACAGCAGCAGGACACACTTTGCAACAGGATCATCCTGGATCTCGCTGCAGTTAGTGGCAAACCTTGCTTGCAGTCATAATTCTGTCCTGAAGTGACAACCTTGCGGTAGGTAAACCTGGCTGTATGAGGTGTGAGTTGTGTTTTAGTGGTACTGCACATTCAAGGCTGAGTAGTTCCAAGAGTTATGTTTACAGCTTAATTTCTAATAGAGTGGGCTGGGCAAGGAACTACAGCTGGAAGTTCTCCAGGGTCCTGCAGTTCTCTGAAAGGACCTCCATCTCCTTGAAGGTCCATGAGGTGCACTAATCCAGATGGTAGTGAAGGACACCACCCAGGAAAGGTTTTGTCTGCGAGCTGAAGGCAGCACATGTATCAAGAGGGGAAGATGACCTGAGGACTTGTAAGCACCTGGGCTGTTAATTTGTTTCTTTGTTTTTTCTAGAGTTTTTAGTTCCTCCTTCTTTTGCTCAGATGTAGACATTGTAAAACTGGAATGTTTTACTCAGTTGCATGCTGACCAGTTGTCATTTTTAATACCCGTTGCAAAGGTGCGTGAAGAGAGGTGTGTTGTTTTGGTATACTTTTGGTTTTAATAACACATGAACATTGTACTATACTTTATTCTTTCCTGTTCAATAAATAGTCCTGGTATTTCTGTGTTTCATGTCTAATTTTGGACAGTAGAGCCATACCTGTATCAAGGCTCTCTCAATTAGGTGGGCATTTTGTTCGTTTAGTAGAAATAATGCATGACTCCTTTCGCAGTGATGGTTTGAGGGACAAAAGAAATCTTACTTTTGTAAAACGTACTACAACTTCTAAACACAAGTAAAAATGTACTGTGATTTATTTATATAAATCTAGTCTGAACAAATAAGTTTTGATCTTAATAAAAACTCTGTAAGAAATTGTGCAACTGTAATTTATTACTATTTTGTATTTAATATATTAAAGTTCAGTTCATTATTCAGAAAACCAACAAACACTTTGGAAATATTTTTGCCCAGTTTTTCTCCATAGATGTTGTGTTTTGATAAAATAAATGAGGCCAGAGAGACAAAGCTGTTAGCATGGCAGTTACTTGGTAGCACTTGAACACAGTTTGGGGGTTTGGATACTGAAACTTCCTCTTGTTTCATCCCATGCCCACAATCATCATTACAGAAAGATTATTTGACATATTAAATATGAATCTCATATATGCTTAATATTAAGAAAAAAAATCAAGCAGCCACAGGAGTGCTTCTATCAAGTAACAGTATGTTAAATTACCAAAATCACTGTTTAGCATGGCACAGTGGCAAAATTAGCAGTCCTCCTGTCAACACCTGACATGTAGCTCCAAGATATTCCCAGAGGCCCCCTGGTATAGCCCAGAAACAAACAGAAAAGATGTATCTGGTATGACCAAACAAAATGCACCTAGAAAGGCAACATTCCTGTCCTCTTTTTCTTGTGTTTTTTTTTTTTTTTCACGCCAACTGAAATTACATATCCATCAGAAAGGATTCTACATGCGCCTGACTTCTAATAAAGTAAGAGTCTCTCTGTCTCTGTAGGGATAAGCTCATTCTTTTCTCATTTGGAAGATCTATCCTACTTACACATACCACATTAATAAAGGGCTACTGACATGTAACATATGGCATAAAACAATATTTCATCCAACTAAGAAAGAATTTAATTTAGTTCTTTTCTCTTCTTGGGATTATTTGATATCACAGGCACGAAGTAAAAAAGTGAGAACAGGCCTGTAATTCTGAAGTTGGTATTATCCTTAATAATGGTAATACCTTTAGGCCCTGGATAGACTCCTGTTTTTCAGCATTACGTACAGGTACCTGTAAATGGTGCTCCATGTGGTGCGCTGGGGTAACAAGAGAGACTGAAGATTAACAAGGCACACATCTGTAGGCATTTTTTCCCTGGCAATGAATGTAGTGCTAATTATGCCTCTCTGTCCCTTAAGCCATTATAAAATATACTCCAGGAGAGGAACTGTATGAACTTCAAAATTGTTTTTAATGTCTTTCAAAAGTACTGGTTTGCATGTTTCTATTTCTTTGTTAATAAACAAACAAAAGCCTTTTCCTCTGTCAAAACAGGCCCACACATCTCTCCTTTCAAGACATTTTTCTGTGACGGTGGATTGGAAAAGGGGAACTCCAGGACCTGGGGTTTTTAGCCCATTACCTGGAAGGGAAAATGCTCCCCCCCTGCCCCCCACCACGTGGTCCCCATGGAGCCCAACAAGACTCACAACAAAGACCAGCAGAGGAGTGAGCAAGAGAGAGATTTATTGTATGGGTAGGGATATATATAGGTTTGGGGGGGGGATTACAAAATAACCAATTAAAAGTTCAGGGGGTCTGGCAGACCCACCAATGGCAAGAAAGGGTTAACAACCAATAGAAAGGAGTAGATAAAAGCCAATGAGAAAACTTCCAGATATCTCCTTAGGACATTCCTGAACAGAGATAACGTGGGGGATTTCAGGAAGAAGAAAGTGAGTTAGCAAAAAACTACAAAAAGTCATTTTGAAACTGTTCACTTAAACAACATTAAAAACTTCTGTTTTTCTTATATACTGCAGATCCATTGCGACATTTTTCCAGAAGAATCATACTTTTAAGTATTTATATGTAGCCTATGGACTTGAAAAAAGCTCCATTAAGACCAAGACAGGTGAAAGATGATTGCAACAGCCTGTTAATAACTAAAAGTGAGGAGCCAAAAGTTGAGAATCCTCACTGAAAATACCCAATCAATAGCAAATAAGACATCCCACACAGGACTCAACCTGAGAAGCCTAGTAATCCTGCACAGCTAATCAGCTGTGAGATGAAAATAAAGGGAGATACCTTGTTAGTAACAAGCTTACTAGCTGCTCACTGAGACTTTCTGCAGGGGAAATGCCTAGTGAGGACATGTTACAAAGTCTATAAAGTACCTGGAGTGACAGGAGAGGGAGTGCAGAGTGATGTCCCTGAAAAGCTGAGGACATGGGCTATTACAGTAAGAAAACAGTAACTCAAAAAGGAGCAGAGACACAGAACAAGGCTGACTAAAGACAGGATTACGTTTGCAAACTTTGTCACTCCAAAAGTAACCTTTCCAACAAGGAAATTACATAGTGTTTTGTATGATGAACTAATTCCATTCACATCTGACAATATTGTCAGTGATTAAGTCCTAACAGAGGTTTCTAATATAAGCAACATGTGTTTTTGTCTCCCTGTTTGTTATTCTAATATTGCGATTTAAACAGCATCAAACAATTCTCTGGGTATATTTATGCGTTTATCATTTCCATATTAATTAACCACACACTTCAGTCCACCACACCATGGCCTTTAACCACTTAATAACTTGCCATATAGCATTCAGTGAATTTATATTGCAGTACAAGCACACATGGGAAATCTGTAAAAGTTCCATAACACAAGTGCCTGAACAGTCTGTTTCAAAGAGCTTGACTAAAACTGCTTTAATATTAAAGAATCATTTAGATATGTCAGAAATGTCAGTAAGTTAGCTAGTGTTAGGTCCTTACCCAAAGGAGAAACTATCAATAAAAACATATTTTTTAGGGAAGCTATTCTTAATAATAAATTTTATGCTGAACCTTTATAAAGTTGTGTAACTAAGTTTAGCAGGCAGAATTCTGTTTTGAGAATGTTACTGTAAACATATCATTTATATCCTGGTAACTGGTACAAAAACATTTTTTAAACAATAGATTAGTAGACTTGAGCTACATTGGGTCTGCCAAAAATATAATTTAAAGAAATATCTTTTTAAAATGCAACAGTTTTGGACCTTTTGAATAACTTTTGCCTTTTTTTTTTTTTTTTAAGACAGTTCACCACATTAAAAAAAAAATTACTAAATAACATTTGATTAATAATCATATATCTTAAAAAAAAAATTCCAAGCTCATCAATCAGTTCTTGTATTTTAGTGTAACTCAGTTCCAAATATTTACTGTTCCAGTGAAAATATCTCTTCTATCTGCCAGAAAACAACCTTTGATACTGTTATTTCCTCCCTTCAAAACCTCAACTCACCAAACATGATGGCTTTTTACTTTCAGTTCAAAGTTTTATTATAGACCATGTTTCAGGAAAAGGACACTAAGCACTCAAAAAGTCTGCTAAGCCTGGCCCTGGTCCCCTCTTTTCAGTTATCCTTGAGGAATCTCATCGACTTCTAACTTAGGCAGACCATGCAGCAACATACATAATTGCAAAGTTCAAATAACCTTTTTAAATATATTCTGCTTAATTTTGAATTCCATTACTGAAATCCTACAAAGAAGTAAAATTTTAAATCTAATGGAAAAGGAACTTTGGAGCTACAGGAACTGCAAACATCTCTCTGAGTCTGCACCAATTAGAAATACAGGTGAAATTTTGGTCAATTAATAAAATAAGGTTAGGCCATCATAAAAGGTAAAAGAGTCCCTGAATGGTACTATGCATCAGATGTAGCAGAAACCTACTGTACACCTGCAGTGATGATTATAATCTGCTCAGTATCACACAGTTCCAGCAATGATAATTAGGAACAAACATTTTATTGCTATGGGTAGGTTCTTGTTACTGGTAGCAGGAGTGAAAGGTTTTTCTATTATATTTCCCCCAATTAATTAATTTCTTGCATTTTTATCCAGATTTTTGTAAATGCCCCCAAACTTCTTCTCTTTCTGCACTACTTAAACTACTTGAAAAGTTAAAGTGGATTGAAACGGAAGGAGGAATTCTCAGTATGACTCTGGAGCTGTATCTTCTTTCAGTAAGAAAGGACAGGAAGCTACTTCCTCCTATCCTTGTTTTAGAGCTACTTTAAATTAAAATTCATTGTTCCAAACACTGACAAATAATAGGTTGAGCTCACTCAAAAAAAAAAAAAAATCCTTCCTTTCATGTGGAGCATCTTTAAATTTGGGTGTCAGGCTCTGCTGAATTGTTTTTTCATTTCCTCCAATCTGCCTGACAAGTGGAGTTCCGTTCTCTCCCACTCCCTTTTCTGCCCTCATCCTGCTAAGGCAAGACAGCACATTTAAGCTAAACGTTCAGAAGTTCTGGAGATCTTCATAAGATCTAAGACATTTTGGTTTGGAAATTCCATTGCAAGTAGAAATAACATCTAAGTTGCATCTAGATATATGCTCGACATATTTTCATTTTATTTGTCTACTGGTTTTACTTTTCATTTCTGCTATCTGCCTTTTCTTCTCTTCCCTTCCTCAAAACCTTTCTCTCGTCATCTTTCCCTCAGTGATTTTTACTGGAGAGATGGGTTCAACTGGTCCCATTCTTCATCTATACGAAAACTTCCCCAAATATGTTGGTTTCTCCTGTGGTTTTCCTAGTGAGCTCAGGTCCAATAGTCAAGGCTTGTAATGAGCTGTTTCAACCTTCAGTCATATTTCATCTGCTACTCACCTCACAGCAATAGCATTTGCATTAGAAAAGCATGCACTCTGTCTTCAGGTAGTAGACCAAAGGTATAGGGATGTAAGGGCTGCTGCAGAATGTCAGAACATGGTAGAATATACTGCCAGACTGCAATTTAATGATTTCATGGTAATGGCCAGGCCTGGAACACTTTTGATGAATGCTACAAAATCCACGGTGACAGCAAATCACAAAATCAATGGCTTCTCATGTCTATTCCTAAAGAAATCAAACATTTGATGTCTTTAGGAGTTTGGATAAGTACCTTAATAAAATGAGGCCATAACACAGCCTGAGATGTCAGCATTCTGACACTTGTCCAGAATAATGTTCAGCAACACAGAAAACAAGTGGACAAGCAAGAGAACTGTGTTTACAAAGGGAGTTACCATAGGGGGAACAGACACAATTACCAGGGGAACAGACACAATATGCTATCCAACTGTCCA